AGCTATCGATGATCTTCACGTCATAGTAAACTCGATTATACCAATCAATGTCGAAATGAGTGAGAGCCATAATTTTTGGCGCCCATCGCGGCTCCTTCTCGAGATCCCAGAAAACATCAGACCTAGGTAGATGAGAAACATACCACTGATACAGCAACGATGCACAACAAATAATCATCCCTCCTTGATAAGAGTTTCGAAGATGGATGGAGTAGTAGGTATCTCCTAGCAACGTAGGGACCGGATTTCCAATCAAGAAAATTCTGATGGCATTGATGTCCACAAACTTATCAATGTTAGGGAACAAGAATAGACCATAAGCGAGTAAAGCAAAGACGTCTTCAAAGGCAATAATATCTCTTATCATTCATTCATGCTTTCCTCAACAAAAACTGTGCAGACAAGCCTCGGATTCCCCCTTTTGTAGTCATGTTCTCCTCTATCTCTGACTTCTTCAAGTGGGTGATGGTCGCTATCTCGTGAGATTTGGGTTCCTCTTCTAAGCCAGAAAAAGGAACACAGTCGGTGATCGGCAAACCAAGTATGTAGGAGTACTCTTCTAAGGTGGGAATTAACTGGTAATCCGGAAAGGTGAAACATCGATACAAAGGATCGTAAAATTGGACTAACGTACTAAGGATGCCTTCTTTCATCTTGCACTTCATGAGAGGTATAATGGACCCATACTTTTTCTGAAAATCTGTCGGGTTCTTGATCTTAGGAATTAAACTCTTCAGTTCTTCAATCTCAGGCTCCCTAAAACTAAAACTTCGAGTGTTTCTCCTTCCAAATTCCATAATAATAGTACCTGAGATGTCTGCAAAAATCATTCCTAAGTTCCTTGAAAAAAAAGTTTTTACAAAAAATGTTGATGAATGCATGAATGAATGATAATGCAACAGTTACACACAAGTTCTCAAACATGGGGTTCAAAGGTTCAACGTTTCAGCATGGAGTCAAAGGTAAAGCCCACCCCAAGGTATGTACTATGGTTTCATCACACCTGTAAGACAAGGTTCTAAGAGTTCCCAGAGTCTACATTCCTCCTTCGGATATTGCCAACGTCTTGATTACTCAATAATTAGCAATATTCTCAAGAGAAACTCATCCGAGCGTAGCATCGCGTAACAACTACTTCTGAATTACTCCGTTATAGTCTCCGCGCTACACCTAAAAAGGCCAAGATGGGTTAGGGTTCTACGGTCCTCAATTTCTCTGGCTCCCAGGTCGAAAATAATAATGTCTTCCCGATTACTCGGTAAACAAATATTAAGTTCAAAAGGGCCTTCCATTGAGTGGGGGATCTCATGCCTCCTTCTTTGGGATTACTCCCTCAAAGTTAACATGACTATACTGCCCGTCCTATTCTTAAGTGTAACTTAATCCGGGTATAGGATTCGTCCTTTGCAAAAAACCCAAACAACCCCAATTTAAACACATAATCAAACAAAACAAATAATAATAAAACAGATAAAACAAACTAGGCTTAACCCACTTAGGGATGGACCAGCAAGAGGTCAATCTTTCCCCAGCAGAGTCGCCAATTCTGTAGCGATAAAAAAATGTAGCGGGGTAAATCAGAGATCGAACTATTAATTAATTTGTCTCGCAAAAGCAAGAGTCGCCACCGCGCTTTATTATTTCCAAGGGAAAAGGGAAAAGAGCGAAATAAAACCCTAAAGTATGCAATGTAAAATAATACTTCCTAAAAGTAATAAAAATACAAGGCGTTTTTGAAAAGAGGTCTATGGTTCGGGGGTTGGTTATACAATGGGAAGGTATTAGCACCCAATGTATCTATATTATTCTATAGGAACCTTTTGAAATATATGTTTATTAAAATTTTTCGTTTGATTAAAAATAAATTGTTTTGGCCGAAAAGGGGTACGGACGGGTTTTTGAAGGTACGACGATCTAATGTCGAAGTTTTGACTTAAAAAGGTATAAGTTTTGAAAAAAACTGAATATTTGGGGAAAAATTATCTTAAGTTTTAAAGAAATGAAGATATTCGCGTGATTGGATTTGAGGACATGAAGTCAACAAATTTAATCATTTTTCTCTTGGATTAAGACGTAAACAGAATAACCAAGTAAATACTGAATAATTGAACAGACAATTTAAGTAGCTAGGTGATATACAACCATAACAATGATTAAATAACATACTAAATGGTATGAACATGCATTTTTGTATTTTTGTTTAATATTAATTAAAGAAAAGAAAATGTTTTAATCTTTCTATTTTTTATGTATTTTTTGATATTAATATAGAGTATTATTTTAAGAATTGTTAAATGATTCTAAACTAAATTAAAACTTTAAAAGTTATTAACTTAAATCTAATTAAAAAATAATACTAAAATTACTAAATTAATCCTAAACTTAAACTAATAAAAATGGTCAAATTATTTAAAAATTGTTTTAATTAAATTACACATCTATTTGATTAAATTTACTAATTAACTAAATTAACAAAATTCTAAAAAAACTAAAAGGAAATAAATAGAAAGTGGGGTATAAAAAAATAAGGCAAAGGGAAACGGGTCAGGGCCCAATTCATTTGAAACACAATTTTTCTTTAGGGTTATGAATTTTGTTCATTTGGGGACGGCTTTAGGGCTGCAGCGCCGTTCGTTCATCCTTTGTTTGTCTTCTTCGTTGTTCTCATGCTCTCGCCTCTGAGTCTTCCCTTGCCCATGGCCACCGGCATCTTCAAACCTCCTCTTCCCTCCAACGAAATGCTAGGGCGACAGATTCAAGGTAATCTTCGTTTTGAATCTCAAAAAGGTTTTATTATGATTTTGCATGTTTATGATTTTTACATCCATTTTTGATTCTGACTTCCTATTATTATGGTTATTTGATGTATATGAAAGAAAAATAGGGAGAAACATTACCTTTAGGGACGGAGGAGGAAAAGGTTGAGAAGAGCTGTGGCGGCCAAAGCGGTGAGGGACAGCGCTTGATGCTGGGCTTGCTCCGGTTTGTCTAGTATCTCGCCTTTGACTTTTATGTTTTGATGATGATTTGGCCTGAGAAACTTATGTGATTTTTTTCTTCTTCTTCTTCTGTTGACCTTGCCTTTGCCTATGCACGCTTCTTTGCTTCTTTATCTCTTCTTCCTCTGTCGCCTCGTTGTATGCTTGACTGTTGCCTTCGTTTGTATGCTTTTTCCTCTTCTTCTTCTTGCCTTGTTACCTGGATATATTGGTTAGTGTGTTTGACAGCCCAGTGATGAGAAAACTCTGAGGGCTTTGAGTTGTTATGGACTTGGATGGCCTTCTGGTCATGGTTTCAGGTTTGGCATGGCTTAACAGGTCGTGTTTACTGGTTTTTTTGTGGGGCTTCAGGCAGGTTGGGTGTTACTGGTTTATGCAGGTTATGGCCTTCATGGTTTAACAGGGTATACTGGTTCTGTTGGGATAATTTTCTGGTTTGTTATGTGTTTATGGTTTCCGTCATGGCTTTGACATGGTTTAGGCTTTGGCTAGGCAACAGGTTTGTGCAGGTCATGGCCTGGGCTTTTGCTTGACAAGTTTTTGTTTAGGCTTTTGCTGGTTGGGCGTTACTGGTTTGTTATGAGTATACTGGTTATGGCGTTTTTTGCAGGTTTGTTTTGGCTAGGCAACAGGTTTGTGAACTCTGGCTTTTTTGAAGAGTTTGTGGTTGTTTTATATCAGTTTGCCTGGCCTCTATTTGATGGTTCAGGTTTTTGGTATATTTTCCATTTTTCTTTGATACCTCTGCACTCTATACTATTTTATTCAGTTTGTTTTGTATCCTTTTCTATGCTTCCCTTTTTACTGTGTTACTGCAGTTTTGTTTTATATCCCTTTTCTGCCTAAGGCCAAAACCTGTAAACCCACACTCTTTCTCTCTTCTCTCTCCTTAGTACAGTTTGAAACATTAAAATGATGTATGTACTTTGTATTCTGAAAAAGCAAAGCTGGAAAATGATGAAAATTAGAAATATTTGCTTGCATATGTGGTTTTGATTTGCACATTTCCTCTTTGCCATCTGCATTGTTACAGTATGGAGCCTTTGTATTTCCATACTTCCATATTTTTGGGCAGTTTACGTTGGACTTTGGCTTTGAAAATGTAACTTTGACTTGGTTATTTGCATATGCTGTTGAACTATGCAGTTTATTTTGGTAAAATTGAATTTGTGCATATTTTTAACTTGTGCATTCATATTTATCAATAAATAAACATCCCTTTTTGTGAACCGGGAGAAATCTCGTGATTTGCAAAGAGGGTAAAAAACTGATTCCAGCCGTTTGCTTTTAATGATGAACGCTAAATTAATCGTCTGCTTTTAATTATATATCTTATTTCTGACTTTTTCTTTTAATTCTTTGCAGGTAAAATCAAATGAGCATCAAAGAAGTATTGGATAGAAGATGAAGATTTAGAACTTAGAAAAATTAGGATAGTTTTTATTTCACTTTAAACATTTGTAAAAGTTATCATTGTAAATACTTTGTAAATAAATACAGTATTTAAACAACAATTGTAACAATTAGAATAAAGATGAATAAAACTCTATTATTTTACCAATTAATTCTTTTCTTCTTTCCAATTATTTACTTTATCATTTATAATTCTTTAAATTATAACAACTGAAAAATGAATTCCAACCATTTAAATTCAGAATAATAAATAATTAAATAAACATCATTGATCAATAAACTTCTCTTCAATTATTTACTTCATTATTTATAATTCTTTAAATTATATAATAACTGAAAATAAATTCCAATTATTTAAATTCAGAATAATAAATAATTAAATAAACATCATTGATCAATTAACAAACTTCTTTTCAAATATTTACTTTATTATTTATAATTCTTTAAATTATATAATAACTGAAAATAAATTCCAATTATTTAAACTCAGAATAATAAATAATTAAATAAACATTGTTTTAGCATTGATCAATTAATAAATTTAGCGTTTCAAAAATAATCAGCTCTCGACTTGAAAAAGTTATGAATTTAAAAAACTGCTTTGAAAATTGATAAAGATAGGTCAAAACACTTGCAATGTAATGATGTAGATGGGAGATGGTATCTTAGGTCAAAATTTGGGGTACAACACATACCATGCAACTTCCCAGTGTTAGCATCGACACACCTTGCTAAATTTGAAGAATGCCCATCGGGAATTCTCAAACCTTTTAGCCATCCATAAACCGCTTTAGCTTCTTTGGGGGTCAGACTGAAATAAGCTTTGGGTTTAAATAATTTTCCATTTAGTTGAGGCTTCAATTCCAACTCTTTACGATTACACAAAATTTCCATGTCTTGTCTAGCCTTCACATTATCTTTTGTTCTGTCTTTAACATCCATCACTGTGTTAAATACGTTATCAAAAAAATTCTTCTCAATATGCATAACATCAAGATTATGGCGCAACAAATTATATTTCCAATACGGGAGGTCCTAAAATATACTTCTTTTTGTCCAATTATGTGTGACCCCATATCCTTCAATTCTACATGCTTTTCCAGTATCTGTAAACTTTGGAAGTTTACAAACTTGGTTCCATATAGCAACTGGTGACAATCAAGGCGGAGGCAGATCTGTTACCCGTTCGTCCATTTTGAAATTTGTCTTGTTTTTTCTAAAGGGGTGATTTGATGGTAGGAATCTGCGGTGACAGTCAAACCACGAGCTTTTCCCCCCTTTATCCAATTTAAACGCCTTAGTGCATTCCATGCAATGCGGACAACCCATTCTGCCATGCGTACCCCAACCAGACAACATGTCATATGCTAGAAAGTCGTTAATGGTCCACATCAAGGAAGCTCGCATAGAAAAGTTTTGTTTACAGGATATATCATAAGTTCATTCTCCATTATTCCACAACCTCTTCAAATCATCAATTAAAGGTTGTAAGTACACATCAATTCTGGTTTTTGGACTCGACGGTCCTGGAATGACGCACATCAAAAACATGTATGGTTTTGTCATGCACATCTCAGGAGGGAGATTGTAAGGGGTTACAATAATTGGCCAACAAGAATACGCACTTCCAGACGCTTGGACATATGGAGCAAAATCATCATAGCATAATCCAAGCCTGACATTTCTAGGTTCCGTGGCAAAATCAGGATGTACCTCATCAAAGTGCTTCCATGCATGGCCGTCAGATGTGTGTTGCATATTGTCTGGGCTTGTTTTGTTTGTATGATTCCATGTCATTTGACTTGCACTGTGCCTTGAAGAAAACATTATTTTTAACCTTGGTATTATCGGAAGATAAAACATGGACTTTACTGCTACACATTTTTTCTTACTGTTAATGGCTCTATTGCAAACTTTATATCTTGGACTCTGACAAAACTTACATTCCTCCGACGATCCATCTTGAGTACCAAACTCGTTGTCATAAAACAACATGCAACCATTAATACAACAATCAATCTTTCTTACTCTTAAACCCAACTTCGACACCAACTTCTTTGCATCATAGAAACTCGCATGCAAGTTATCTTTCGTTGCAGTTGAGTCCAACATCATTTTTGCGAAGTGCTCCAAACACTGATCAGGAACATTCCAATTTGACTTGGCAGCCAATAATCTCACACACATTGATAGCTTTGAGTCTGACGACCCCTCAAACAATGGTGTATTCATCTCATTCAACAACTGATAAAATCTTTGCGCTTCCTCATTCGGTAACTCTTCCCCGTCAAAATCTTCTAGTTGATCATAGGTCACGTTAACACCAAAAGCATCATCAACCATGTCACCTATCAGATTAAAGTTTTCCTCAAATTCCATAGGCGATTGCATAGCCGGTCGACTACTTGAAGCATTTGTGTTACTAGTCTCTGGTACATTACTCGGCAGTGTTTCACCATTATACGTCCAAACCCAATAATTTTCAATGAAACCTTTTCTATGCAAATGACGTGTTATTTCCTCTGGGTCACTAATTATATATCTACATCCACATTTAAGACAAGTACACCTAACTCCTCCTTCACTTCGACAACGTTCCTGAGCAAACGTCCACGTGATAAAACTATTAACTCCGTCTATAAAATTGGGTTTAAGTGCGCGTCTTTCTGGATATAGTCTATCGTACATTCAACTACGATAATACCTATAATATTCCATTTACTGCAAATTTATATAATCAAAACCTTTTTAATTAGAAATATTAATTAATCAACTTAATAATAATCCTAAAAATATTGTTCTTGTTCTTATTACTACTAAAAATATACTATGTATATATACTATTAAACATAAACATATGTTTTTACTTTAACTATTTTTAATATATAATATTTTTTATTATATACTATTAAATATACTAGTAATATAGTTTATTAAATATATAATAATTAATATAATATTTTTTATTGACATATAATATAGTTTTTATAAAACAATTTTTAATTATAAAACTGTTTTTATTAACATACCTATAATATATAATAATTAAATACATAAACCAGTTTTTTATATATAATTTTTTATAACATACTATATATAATGTTTTATTGACATATAATATTTTTTAATATACTATATTAATGTTTTATTGACATATAATATAGTTTTTATATAATATTTTTTAATTATAAAACCGTTTTTTATTAACATATAATACAGTTTTTAAATATTTTTTTTTAATTATAAAACAGTTTTTATTAACATTCTATATATATGATATATAAATATTTTTTATTAACATATAATACAGTTTTTATATAATTTTTTTTAATTATAAAACCATTTTTATTAACATTCTACATGAAATATAATATTATATTTTTAAAAAAAATATATATTAACATCAAATATATACTGTTTTTTACAATATTATACTATTTTTTTAATAATATTATACTGTTTTTCATATATGTATAATTATAAAAGAGTTTTAAAATAATAACATTAAATATATATATTTTTTAATTATAAAACAGATTTTATAATAATAACATTAAACAGTTTTTACTAAATATATACATATTAAAACAGTTTTTTAAATATGTTTTTATTCAATAAAAAAACTATTTTTTTATATATGTTTTTAATCAATACATAAAATATTATATTATATTTGTTTTAAATAAAATATATATTAACATTAAAACTGTTTTTATAAAATTTATATAGTATTCTGTTTTTATAAATTAAATAAATCAAGATATATATTTAATGAAAATTACAATATTATAATTTAACCAAATTCAAAAAATATACTAAATGTAAAAAAAAAATTCCAAGAAATACCTCTTCTCTTCTAAATCCTTCAATCTTCTTGTCCAACCTTTTTGCAATCTACTTCTACTATATCAATCTTCTTCTATTTAAAGAAAAATTAAAATAAATTACAATCCCATAATACAATAAATAAAAACTTGTAAACAAAATAGAAACAAAATTAAATTAAATTTACCTGGAAAAACAAGGATTAATGGAGATTGAAGTTAGATTTTATGAAAAAGAAGAAGTTTTATAATGGAGAAGAAGAGGTTTTATGAAGAAGAAGAGGGTTAATGAAGATTGGGATGGAATGAGAAGAGGGTTAATGAAGAAGAAGAGTGTTTGATTGTTTGATGACAACATACTGTCTGCTTTGTGTAACGTGATGAAATTAAATATATAAACCATTTAGCGACGTGAAAATCACGCCGCAACTTTGCCACGTGACTTTCACGTCGCAACAATGTCAACAGTCATATTCTCTTTCTTCACATGCCTGCAAAAGTTGATCATGTCAGTCTGTATTAATTTGATTTTCCCTCTTAAATGTTGCGACGTTTCACAACTTACTTTTTTAAAATTTCAAAAACCCATCCATCTGAACGTTAGACCAATTAAAATATTTTATATTATATTTTTACTAGCGACGTGATTCTCACGTCGCAACATATTTTTTTTGTTTAAAAAGTCAGACAACCATCATACTCTTTATTTTATTAATAAAACATGTTGCTACGTGATTATCACATTGCAACTGATTTTTTTTTAGCCACGTAATAATCATGGGGCAAAAACACGTGCTTAGAGATGATATTTCTTATAGTGAGAATTGAAAAAAACATTAAATACATTGAATTTGAAGGGTGTGAACATGGTTTTTTCACATATGATTCATATTATGAACTTGCAAAAGAAGTTATACATATCCTTAAACGATTCATGGTTGAATCATCTATTTAGGAGACTAGTTAATTATATGATTTATGTATTTTTAGTTTATATATTAAAATGGTTTTTGGGATTGAATTTTGTCATTATCAGTTTGTATAGCTTGTATTTGAGTGGAGTAGTTGTAGACGGTAGTTATTTATATTTCAAGTAATTTGTGGTATATAATTGTCAATTGTATAAGTTATTTTTCGAGTGGAAAACTTTATAAAATTCAAATTTTTGAGTGCATTAATTATTTAATTTATTTAATTAATGACGCACATATCTTTTAGAGTATAAAAAAAAAAATTTAATTAGTTTTGACATTTTTGATTTTTTGATATTAGAATTTCTGTATTATCTTTCGTTTAAACATTTATATGTGTTGTCCTTTTCAAACTAAACTAAGATGTGAATTTTAAAAAGATTGTGTTTTGAGAAAAACACACTGTGAAACTACACAATTATCCCCAACATTCCATTCATTTGTGTATATATACCTCTATATTCTAGTAGTGTCTCATTGATTATTTCAAATCTTGATTTGCAATTCACACTCATAAGGCAATAATCACTTACAATGAGTTCCCTTCCACACGTAGTAGAAGACTGCATGGGCTTCCTCAAACTCTATAGCGACGGTTCCGTTCACCGTTCAAACAACTTCAAATTCCATGTTTCTCCTATCCAAGACAACACCGTAATCTTCAAAGACTGTATCTTCAACAAAAAACTCAATCTCTCTCTTCGTCTCTACAAACCCAACACCAAAAACAAGCTTCCTGTGATTGTGTTCCTTCATGGTGGAGGATTCTGTTTCGGCTCACGCACATGGCCTCACATGCATAACTGTTGTGTGCGTCTTGCCACCGGACTCCAAGCATTGGTGGTTGCGCCGGACTATCGCCTCGCACCGGAGCACCGTCTTCCAGCTGCGATCGATGACGCTGTTGAAGCGGTGAGGTGGATTCAAAGGCAAGGGTTGAGCTTAAAAGAGGAGGGAAGTAATTGTGGAGAGGCGTGGCTGAGAGATGACGTTGACTTTGACCGTGTCTTTATAGTCGGTGACTCTTCTGGCGGGAACATTGCGCATCAGCTTGCAGTTCGGTTTGGTTCAGACCCAACCGTTATTGAACCGGTTCAGATAAGAGGTTATGTTCTGTTGGCGCCGTTTTTTGGCGGAGAGGTAAGAACCAAGTCTGAAGAAGGTCCTGCAGAACAAACGTTGAATCTTGACTTACTTGATAGGTGAGGGTTTATACTTTATATACAACATTATAATAAAAAAAGCAAATATATATTTAAAATATTTTAAAATCTAATATTATTATCATATTATATATCTGATTTTATATAGATTAATTAGACCAAATTCAAATTTTATGATTTAATTAAGTTTGTATGCCTGAAGCAGATTATTGTATAAATCCACTCACATATCACCTTAAAATTTTAAGTGAATAAATGAGGTGTCTCTCACAAAAGTACTTGTTCCTACGCTATGCATTAATACTCCTAATAATCTTCCCCAACAATTATATTATTATTATTTATTATTATTATGATGGAGAATATTGAAACGTTATTGTCATCAACTTTTTTCTCTTCTTTTCTCCAATATAGGTTTTCATTGCTTTCAATCACTCGTGGGAAACAACAATATATTAAAGTATATTAATTTTTTTTTCTTTCAGATTTTGGAGGCTATCTATGCCTATTGGAGAGACTAGTAGAGATAATCCACTGGCTAATCCATTTGCACCTAATAGTCCAAATCTTGAGAAAATAAAGCTTGATCCTATTTTGGTGATAGTTGGTGGAAATGAATTGCTTAAAGATAGGGCTGCAAACTATTCAACGAGATTGAAAGGAATTGGAAAAGACATTAAATACATTGAATTTGAAGGGTGTGAACATGGTTTTTTCACACATGATTCATATTCAGAAGTTGCAAAAAAAGTTATACATATCCTTAAACGATTCATGCTCGAATCATCTACTTAGGAGACTAATTAATTATATGATTTATGTTTTTTTAGTTTATATATTAAAGTAGTTTGTGGGATTGAATTTTCTCATTATAAGTTTGTAGCATGTATTTGAGTGGAGTAGTTGTAGATGGTAGTTTTTTACTATTTCAAGTAATTTGTGGTATATAATTGTTAATTGTATGAGTTTATTTTTCGAGTGAAATTTTTTTTCTCTTTTAATAAGCCGAGTGGAAAATCATATAAAATTCAAAATTTTGAGTGCATTAATTATTTAATTTATTTAATTAATGATGCATGTATTTATTTACAGTTTCTAATGATTTTTTCTTTATATTAGTTTTGAGAATTAACTTATTTAATTTAATTATTAATTTTAATATAATTTTCTTATATTAAGAAACCTGAAATAATTGGAATATTTAATTTAAGTGTGTGTATCAATCAATAGTATATGGATGTGTTTCTAGCAATTGGGCACAGAAAGATTCACACTTGTGAAATCAACATCTTCGATTTGTTCTTTTCACATGTGACACATTTGAAAAGTTGTGTGCAATTAGTCCCAAAAAAAGTTGTGTGCAGAATTCTTCCAAGAGTTATGTCCATCGAATATTCTTTTTGCCAAAATAACATAAATTAAATACTGAAATATAATAGGGATTATATAATAGGCATTATATGATAATATCTTTGAAATTACAATACTAATAAATATACAATAATAAAATCATACACAGTCACACATTCCACTTCCCACATCTTCGCATAACAATAAAAGTCTTATTACATAATAACTATTCTATCATACATAATCATCACACACACGAACACTCATCATGTAGCACATACACCAATGGACTATCCTTTTAAAGAACAGAATTCTAAAATTCCATAGTATTATCAAATATCTCACATTCTAATCTACACGGACCAACATAAAGATTTAATCCACAACGCTCTTTAATAACTCTTGTTGGTGTATGGCTCTCATAGCAATGTTAGTTTCTAAACGAACTCTTGGGCCGGTGATCGGCTCATTTTGGATACTGACTTGGATTTGCTGAAGCAGCATGGTATAAATCCTTTCATTCGTATTAATGAGCTCTCCTCCCACGGTCAGTGGAACATCCCGTTGGAATGATTCACTTGGTTTCAATTTTTACAGTCGAAGATTTCGAATTACTCGACTCCTTTGAATGATGTTGATGACTTCCTAAGTTGGAAGCATAACACTACCGGTTTCTTGTATTTAAAAGATGCTTACGATTTCAAACTTAGGCTGGCCCCGAGTCTCCCTTGGAGTAAAGCAATTTGGCACTCTAATATCCCTAATAGCAAATCCTTCACAGTGTGGAAGATGATCCATTTGAAGATTCCCACATATGAGTTTATTATGAATTACGGCATCACTTTGGCTTCTCGTTGTCCGTTGTGCAGCGCTAACTCAGAATCTTTTCATCACATCATTTTCGAGTGCAAGTTTTTCAGAATTCTTTGGAGGTGGTTGATGGAAAAGTTTCAAATGTCTAGCAATCCTAACACCATTATTTGGTGTCTGGATTTTTGTAGTCGAAATAGGTCTCCTCAAACTTCTCCGGTTCTCTTTGTTGCTGTCATAAACACTTTGGTAAAGATTTGACATTCTAGGAATTTGGCCAAGCATCATAGAAATTTGACTTCTGCTAAAGCTATTGATTGGATTTGTGCCCAAGTGCAACTGTCGGGAAATCTCTCGATTAAAATGGATGGTTTGAGTATGATGAACTTCTATTTTATCAAGGCTTTCAAAGTGAATATCCATCCCCCCAAAGCCTCGTTCGTTAAAGAGGTCATTTGGTCCCTTCCGGTAGTAGGCTGGACTAATTGTAACTTTGATAGTGCATTCATTCATCAAAGTTCTAATGCCAGAGGTGGTGGCATCTTTCGAAATCATATGGGAAATTTTCTTCTGGCATTTGCAGAAAAGTTGCAGTGTGTTTCTCCGGTTCAAGCTGAGTTTGGAGCAGTTATTAAATCTATGGAAATTAGTATAGAGAAGGGTTGAACTAGGCTTTGGATTGAGACTGACTCTAGTTTGGTGGAAAAGCATTCTCCAACCATAATTTAGTGGCTCTTATTTTTAGGAATAAATGGAGGTTTTCTCTCCATAATAGATTGACTCATATTGTCTTCACTCACATATTTAGAGAAGGTAATTCTTGTGCTGATTTTTTGGCGAAATTTGCGCTCGGCTTAAGTCATACCATCATTTTTTATTCCATTCCCCCTAGAATTCATAATGATTTTGTAAAAAATATGTTAGGTATACCTTTCTTTAGATTCTCGTAACCTTGGGACTAACTGGTTCCCCTCTTTTGTAATGATTTTATTTTAATATATATTGGGCTTTATTAAAAAAATCCTCCACAACACCACATCTTTAAAATACTTTTACATGAGAGTTGCAAGTGGCTGGAGCATAGGAAATAGGGATAAAATAATATTGTAGGGGATATTTTCATATTAATCTATGATTAATCATATAAAGTGATGAGAAAATAGGAATTGTCAACCTATGAATATTGTGTATTCAGTCAAATTATCTTTGTATTTTAAAATTATTTAAATGACATGGTAGATTATTGTGGACCATACTATAATGTTTTTTTACATTGTCAGTGCATGTCTATTAAGCTCTAAAGTGATATAGACACGCTACATATTCAACTAAAATACGAAGTTATTATCAAAATAGGTGTGTATAGTTTTTAAAACTCTATTGGGTTTGGATTCTTGAATTCAAGGGATGATTATTCAGATCTTCTCAATAGCGTGAGAATTGTTATTCCCCTCATTCTTTTCAGAAATGTGGTTTATCCTTTGACTGAGCTATCAATCAGTTAGTGTTTAAAGACACTTTGAATCACATCTTTCGTAAGAGGATGATTGGTGCTTTAATCTTAGGCCTAAAAGAGGGTAATTGATGTTTGATAACGCTTCTATATTGAATGGATACAGTCTTGAATTATGAACGAATCACTTTTTTATAGTATTTCAAGCAATCCCAAATGTTTTAGAGTTTTTACGCCAGAAGATCCAGGATAATTAAGCCTATACTCAAGTTTGCATAAGATTGATGAAAACTCGAATGTAGAGAATTTCGAATTTTATTGAAGATTATGCACATTCTTGTAATGTGTTTTATGAATCATGAACGATAAATTTATAGGCCAATTTAGTTTTGTTTCATAAGGTTGTGATCCTTGATGAAACAACACCCATTCAACAATATGTTTACTAAAAGTTATATTGTTTCGCATACAACAACACTTTTCAAGTGTTGCCTATTTTTATTCTGCAACACTTCATGAAGATTTATCTATTTTTGAATTCAAAATTTAAACTTAAGCAACGACCAAAAAACAAGAGCAACGACTATTTCCATATGTGGCAATTTTCCGCCACATGCCAGCCGAAGGCACCACCGTATAACGATGTAAGTAGCCTAATTTCTCCAATGTGTAAGTGCTCAAGTGTCGCCTACAAGCCGCCACTAGCCTCTATGCCCATGCCCACACCCTCGGACCCGATCTTGGAGCCATCGTTAGTGGCGACACCGGCGAGGGGTGTATGAAGGTGACACTTGACATAATGTGTGAGACCACCGCACTTGTCCATGTGACATTTTATCCTCTTTAGATATTTTGTTAAGTTAATAAATATATCTCTTTATAAAGGCTTTCAATGTGAGTACCACTTTCTATGTGGGAATATTTCCCGTGCATTTATTTCCATTTACTCACTTGCACATTTTTCTTTTCATTTTGGAACACATCCTTGGACATTTGTTGTTCATTAATTACAACAATCCCCCATTTTTTCTAATAATTAAAAGACCAATTCCATAAATGAGAAACTAAGAATGTTAATACAATTAAGTATCTTTAGATTTTAACTTAACCTTAGTAAGGACAACATAAAGTCTAATCAGAGTGTTAGGTAAAAATGCTTTGAACCGTTATCCCTTATGATTAAACCGGAGTTACCTTACACACACTCGTTAATAGTTATTCTCCTACATCTCTCTCCTAGCACTATTTATGGCCATGTATTTTTCCTGTTTCGTAGAAATTTTTGTGAGAGAAACTCCAACTATTACTTTGAGACGACACCATCTCAAAATTCACATAGCGGAAGTTCATATTGTATCTATCTTTCTCGAGATACATATTCTCGACAATGAACTTCATTAAGAGTTTGGAAATTTAAACCTTAATATGCAATAGTCAACATTGTCACATGATGTTGCCCAAACATCCAAGTCAGAGACTTGTTGTTACCCATTGAATCTTATGTTAAGGTTTTCTTAACTTCATATTGGGTTGCTACCGTTGTTGGAACTCTTATTCCAGGATTTTCAATCACATACCTCTCGAGGTAGTCTTTACTAAAACTTTGGCCAACGATTTAGTAAATGGATCAGCTAAGTTATAAATTGTTTGTATATATGTGAGTGAAATGATTCCATTCTTAATCAATCTCACAAAAGAGTTTCTAATACCTATGTACCTATACTTTTCATTGTTCACTTTGTTGAATGTTCTAGCTAAGGTGGCTTGGCTATTGTAATGTGTCAACACTTTTGAAACATTGTATTTAGCCAATGGAACTTATAAAATAAGGTCCCTCATAACTTCTTGACCAGCGGAAGCAAACACCATAAACTCTGATTCCATGGTCGAAGGAGTAATACATGTTTGTTTCTTTCTCTTCCAAGAAGTTGCACCTCCAACTAATGCAAATATCCACCCAGTTGTAGATTTAAGATCTCCAACATTTGATATCCAACTTGCATCGGTATATCCTTCTAGTATGGCAGGAAATCTACCATAATGAATGCCAAGATTTTTGGTTTTTAAAAGATAACTGAAAATCCTAGTGATGGCCTTCCAATGTTCACCATTTGGATTTCTAATAAATCTACACATCTTACTAATTGCAAATGTTATGACGGGTCTGGTTCATTGCATTAAATACATTAGAATTCCAATTGCACTTGCATATTCCAATTTATCCACAACTCTTCCATCGTTCTTTTGAAGTTTGACACTAGGATCAATGGAGTGTTTACTTTCTTAAAGTGTAGGTGTTTGAACTATACAACATTTTCTCAATGTAGTCTGTTTGAATAATTTCATAATCCCCACCATTTCTCTTTACTTTGATCCCCGAGATATAGTGTCAAGTATCCTAAGATATTCCAGTTCAAGGAGAGAAGATAATATGCAGTCCTTTTGACGACTTTATGGTACCGTTCCATGAGTGTTTGTTTACAAAGATAGAACTCCAACTGCCTTTTTCTGAATTTGAGGTAGTCATTTCGAAACATTTGAAGATTTCCCATTCCTAGCTTCATTCGGGGTCATGGGCATATGTGAGAGTCTTTCAGCTGTGTGTCGAGTACAAAAATTAGAAGCCTTATCTTAATTTAATATTTGATATTTTCCATCCGAGGCATACCTCTCTAGATAAATTTCATAATTAGGGATACATTTACTTCCATTCTGTCTATTAGTGCTTCGACCCATTTACTATAGATTAGGGCAATTTTATGAGAATTTTTTTATTGGTAGAGCCCCTTCCGCAGTTCACTCCATGTTATATTACTTTCCTACTAATCCTTCTCTTCTTTTCCAGGTTTGTACCCAAAATACTGGTCCAAATTTAATGGGTTTTCTTTCTCCCACTAACCAAGTCGGGTTATCTTCCCCTAACTAGGTGATAGTGAAGAAGGAAATGTGATCCTGGTTTCAAGGTTTTGGCTATGAAGAAGGGTTTGAACATAGTGAGGTGTCACATACCGAAGTGAGGAAGAATCAAATTATTACGCATGCTATATTAAGTGTAGTTAACCTTAAGAGAGGAGGGAGAATTTTTTTGAGTGGATCCTTCATGATTTTTTACATGCGTGATTGCATTTTGCAGATAGCATGGATAAAATTAGCACGTTGAATATGTTCCACATCCTTGCTGATGCCCAAGGCGTCTGAGATATGGTGAATACTAGTACTTTGGAGTCTTCACCCTCTCCTTTGGAGGTTATCGCTACGGCTCTGACGCCTTCCCTTCCCCCGAATATAGAAGCTTCAGTTCTAGTGCTCGAGGTGGATCAACTTGTGTATGATGTAGCTATTTTAACAGTGGAGGAACCAACCTCACCTTCGGTTCCATCAAGAGGGTCCGAGAGGAGGAACAAAAATCTCCCTGATATGTGGCTTCTCCTAAATAGACTCGTGTCGCTAAGGATGATGCCCTCGGGTAGATGACCACTTTCATAAAGATACTAGATATTTTCTCTGCTTGGCTCCCATGCACTCCTTAGGAGGTTGTGTTATTATTTTATCATCGAATTTATCCTTTGATATTACTGAGGGCGATAAGATGGAAATGGCTTCGGAGCTTACTCACAGCCTGTTCAAAGCTGCTTCTATCTTTTATCTCGTCTTTTCTAGATGGGGTGATGTTCTGGCCCTAAGTAGCCCATTCAAGGAGAGGGATACTTGGAAAACTAAGGCCGAACCTATGGAGATGAAGTGCATTAATATTTAGAAGGATCTCCTTGCACTACAGGAGGAGATTAAAGCTTCTAATTCTTTGCAAGAGGCAGTGAAAGTACATGGCTTCATTTCTACCTTAGTGGCATGTGTTACTGAGCTGAAGGGTGCCCATAAAGATGCAGATGATTGGTATAAGGTTTCTTCTGACTCTGTTGAGTAAAAGGCTTGTCAGGTGGAAGAACATTGGGAAACCTCTATTTAAAAAACCAAGGCCTTACAAGATCTCCAGAACGAGGTGGCCGATCTTAGGTGGGCATCCTTGAAGCTCTTCAGCATACTATGCAAGATGTGCTCGAAATCTAAGAATTGGTGGTGGATAAGGCAAGGAAGTTTTGTCTAGGTGCAGTAATTTTTACCGAGGATCTGGACTTGTTCAAGTCTGCTTATATGGTGAACTAGTGAGGTGACCATGGTGCCTCGGCTTCAAATTCTCTAGTTTGATTTTATTTTTTCTTTGTATCACTTATTTCCTGTAATGATTCCTAGGCTTTTGTTCCTTGGGTAACAATTTAGGATATTTAATGAAATATTTTACGTTGATATTTCAAGTATTGTTAAATTTAGAGCTTCGTGTCGACCTTTGCTTTATCATCATTGTTGTTCATGACTTGTTAATCTTCAAGATTGCTCTCTTTATTTGTGATGTCTTTATTTACTTTAGAATATAGTTTGGACCACCGGTAATCATCAGTGATGGTGGAATATTTGTTCTAGCGTGAGAACCTTAATTTCTCGCCTTATGAAAAAATAGTGCATTTGATTGTCATGAAGTGGCAGATGTGCCCCCCAAAATTCCCTTATCCTTTTACAACCTGCTGCATCAGTTGATGTTGTCTATCGTTTTTGTTTTCTATACTCGATTGTTGTCCTTAGCATTCATTGTAGTAGGGTATTGATTTGTATATTGTGTTTAGTGAATTGCTTGTATATTTTAGGACGGGGCCTGTGATCAACGAAGTCGAGATCATGTAATTATACATTGAGATGTGCTCCACATCATAGAGGACCGTTCCTCGACCAATGGTAGGATCCTCGTCCCTGCACTCGAGGCTTAGCTCAGATTGAGGTGGTCGTCTCCAGGCTCCACCACACACACCCTTAGACTTGCTAGATTAAAGGGGGTGCGCTAACTATACAGAAGTACATTTAATAAGCCTCGTAAGTAAGGTGTATATTTAAGCCGTGTCAAAACCACTAGGGCGAGTTAAGTCTGTATCATATATGCAATAGCGCATGGGAAGTGGTTAAGCTGTATTAGAATTGTAGAAATGAATTAAGTCTATATTAGATATATAATCAGGCCTAGAGTGTGCTTTTAGATGCACCAGAATTGCATAAATGTATTAAGTCTATATCGCTTACACAATAGGCTCAGAATACACTTAGTGATATCAGAATTACATAAGTGCATCAAGTCCATATCAGAAATGTATTCATACACTTTATCTTTATTCTATTGTTCTGGCTATCTAGCAGAAAGAGACAAAGAAGTTCACAACAAAGGTAAAAGATATATATATATATATATATATATATATATATATATATATATATATATATATATATATATATATACACACCCACACACACAATTTTTCATGTTAACAATGAATTGAATTCGATACAAATAAACGAATAACCATCAGGGTGATCGGACGATGTCTGGAGCCCTCAGGCGTTGTCTTTTTATGGAATTCTGGGCTGAACTCACTCCGTGCTTCGAAGCTTCTACCTTGATCGGACGGTGTTCAAGATGTTTTTCCTTGAATTTATCTATCAACATATGTTAGATAGTCGGTTTTGCGGATGTAGCTTGACGTCAACCATTGATCTTTTGTCTCTTCGAATTATTCTGTCAAATGCTTTGCCGTATCTCTTTTTGATTGTCATGGTTAAGATTTCCTGATTTATTTCCACCTCCGGAGTGGATATCTACCTAAAGTAGATCCAAGGTTCCTCCTGTAGTTAATTCGACATGAGGGTTGACTTCTTTTAAACTCTAAATAATTGTTGGGAACTGATGTTAATATTCTCGTTCAGTATTTACTTGGGAACATGGACTCTAAGTGGAGTCCATATAATACAGATTTTTCCTGTGATAATTGGAGTGTATGGTACATCCCTCCAGGTATGCTCGATAGCCCTTTGCTCTTTGATCTGGCTTAAAGGGACCCAGATGCATCATGTAGAATCCTGTAGAGTCCAAAAGATGCACCCAGGCATTGGATCGGCACCCTGTGTTAACTACGTACTTGCGGTATCGAGGTGTCATTAACTAAGAACGTGGAGTATCTTGCGATGTCGTCCCAAAAAGTACCATGGTAATGATGGTCCATGTGGGAACAACCAGCTCGGACGGTGGATTACGAGGTTTCGGCCTGACTATTATGGAAATTGCCTCCAGACCCTGACCTAACCCTATATATTGGATCTGAAATTATTTCTTCTACTATTCTGTGAATTCTCGAAGGAATCGGGGTTCTTAACGGGAAGATTGAGGAGGAAACGACAACTAACTGAATCTGCTATGGAGGATGAAATTTTTGCACTTTAAAATAAATGTCAATACTGATATCCCAACACCAAAACACAATATCAAGACAAATGTTATGACATCATCTGCTAACAGAAAACACTTTTACCAAAATAGAAATTATGTAGAATTTAAATTGAAGAAGGTAAAAGACATAATCAATTGTTAACCTAATTAGGTTTCAACGTCACCTGCTTTGGGGGCTACCAAGCCAAGAAGGAAATTCATTATGATAGTATTAGTTCAAAGTTAAACCAACCACAATTTACAATTTATTACCTAATACCTACTGTGATACGGTGGGAGAACTGGCTTGGTGTTTTGCGTTTTATCACAAATGTTGCGGTTAGCAAGAGTCGCCACCGACTTTTCTTTTATCCAAAAAGGAAAGGCTGAAAAGAACAGGAAAGACCTTTGAGATTGTTTCTTGAGTTCGGGGGGTAGATTATGAAAAGGGAAGGTGTTAGCATCCTTTTCATCCATAGTTATCTATGGGCTCTTGGTTGCTTTCTAGATCATTTGCTTTTGTTTGAAAATGTGTTTCGTGTGGTTTTTGAAAGTATTTTGAAAAGGCGCCATCGTTTAGGAAAACTTTGTAATAGTTCTCATTCGTAAGAACGTATATAAAGTCTTGAGCTTTTGCAAATGTTTCAGGTTTGGAAGATGTTTTTGAATGTGTTTTTTGAAAGTGTTGGTCTTTGTTTTAAAGATAAACAAGAGTGTTTGATTTGAATTTGAGCAAGCAACTAGGAACAATCTACCTACTCAAAAGTCTTAGTTCATTTCTTCCTTTTCTTTGATATTTCTATCTTACCATTGATTTGGTAAGAAGCCCTATATTTGGATGTAAAGGGACGGGCATGGGTCATCATATAGCCATGATAGCAATGTTGTGAAATATCTTAGCAATTCTCTTTGAGGGACTAAGATCATTTTGAAAGGCAACTTTGATAGCATCGTCGAGGGACTATGATCTTATATTTTTTGATTGCTTTTGCTAAGATATCCCACATGCATAACATGGCCATTTTTATAAGGCAACAAAGTGAATTTACCCTAAGGGTGTAAGTGTGCAAGTGTGTTGATTTTCATGCATTGTTTGGTCTTGAATTAGGGTTTTCTAACTTGTTGATTTTATCTTTCCATACAAACCCTAATTTACCAGCATTTATATTTAAAGCAATAAATTGTGAAAAATAAAAATACTAAGCTATTACATCATTAGGGGATGGGGTATACAAATTTACAAATGGGGAAGATTGCAAGAAAATTAAATCTAATTAATTATTACAACCATATTGAATATTATACAAAATTTGAGATAAAATGCAAGAATGCAAAATGGAAAAAGAAATTCTTTTTATTTGATTTTATGAAAGGTTCTAATCTTGACCTAATTTGGAAAATGATTAATGAAAGATTAACTAAAAATTAACTTAAACTAATTAAGAAAAGAAATTAATTTAAAAATGATTTTTAGGGTTTTTTTTATGAAAAAGTTTTAAATTAAAAATATATATGAAAATTAATTAATTAAAATAAATCTAAGTTCTAAATTAATTTTAATTAAGAAAAGAAAATAATATAATAACTAAACTAAGTCTAAACATTAATTATTGTTAAAAAAGAAATTAATTTGTTAAAAGAAAATATTTTGGTCTTTTTGTTTTATAAAATATTAATGAACATTTTTAAATATGCAAATAAATAAATAAAATATATTTTTTGGATTTTTATTAATAATAATAATAATAATAAATATAATAAAAATTAAAAATAATATGAAAAGTAAAAATAAAATAAAGAAGTAGAAATAACAAAAAAAACCAGGGGTGTAAACAATAATCAGGGGGGAAGGTCAGCAAACAAATAGCCAGGCCCAAGGGAGGAAAGCCAAGCACCTGTTATAAACAAAAAAAGAGAGAAACACAGAAAATATAACAAAAAATGGTAAAATGGACGTTGGGGCTCAAACCCAGGTCCAAAGGGTGACAGACGCGCGCTTTAAGCACTAGGGTGGTGATACATCCTTTAACTTGTACACAATAATAAATACATAACACAAATTTTTCCCTGACTGTACTTCTTCTTCAACCTCCAGCCAAAGGATCTGTAACTTGTTCATTTCTCAACCATTTTCAAAAGTGTAAACATGAAACTTATGCATTTTTCCACCACGAATCCAACCATGTAACTAACTTAAGCTAACATTCAAACATAAGGATGAATTTATGAAAGTACCAAATTCTGACCTAAATGTTTTAGCAAGTTCAAACTCAAAATTCTCCATGCTCAAGCAACATAAATGAAATCTATGGACATGTATAGTTTAAGGGCAATGATATCTACATTCTATCTTCATAAATGCAAGCCTAACAATACCTAAATAATGAGATAGAAGTTCAAGAAAAACACCTCAAAACTGGAAATTGTGAAATGAGTTTGAGCTTGCTTCAAGT